AAAACCAATTTCTTAGGTTTTACATGTTAGTAAACTCTTACATTGCAGTTTTTGTATTTTTTCTCAGAAATAAGATATTTTTCCGCGGCAAAAAGTATCCTATATGTCGACCCGGATAACCAGCTATCACCATACCAAATTTCATAAAAATCCCTCCAGTGGTTTTTCTGTGATGCGGTTACAGACAGACAGACAAAAATTCTAAAAACTATAGATTCGGCCTCTGTATCGATAATAATATCTATTTCAATAAGATTATCCAAAAAATATTTAATGTACAGATTCGGCTTAGTTACAATTTTATTATATGTCCTATAGATAAAGATATCTCATATTGATATACGGTCACTATAAATTATTGTTATTTAACTACTTAGGTAAAAATTTATGACAAGTTGTTGTATAAATAACAGACTTGGTTTTACATTAGATCTTGTAGTAGAAGAATTGCGTTGCTAGACTTGCATTTTTTTACATGTTTCGGTTTTTCATGGGATTATATAAATAAGAAAAAAACATTGGTATGCTCAAATGCACACGTGTTATGTACCTACGTGTTTATTGATCGATCGACGCATGATTGCGACTGATAAGCGGCGACACACCGTTGACATCAGATACGTGGAAATAGATATCGTTAGAGGTGACTTTATATATATGTATGTATGTATGTATGTATATATGTTTCATGCTCGCGCGGTAGATATGTACGATTATAAGACTTTTAGGTAATTACTAGCATTGCCCGAGGCTCCGCCCGCATTCAGATGACGAAAAACCAAATTCTTATGTTTTACATATTAGTATACTCTTACAATGCAGTTTTTGTATTTTTTCTCAGAAATTAGATACTTTCCCGCGGTAAAAAGTACCCTATATGTTGACCCGAATAACCAGCTATCATCATATTAAATTTCATCAAAATCTGTCCAGTGGTTTTCTCATGATGCGGTAACAGACAGACAGACAGACAGACAAAAATTCTAAAAACTATAGATTCGGACTCTGTATCGATAATAATGTCTATGTCATATGGATTTTCCAAAAAATATTTAATGTACAGATTCGACTTAGTTATAATTTTATTATAGATAGGTATAGATTATTACTTTTTCTCAAACGATTTCTTCTTTTAAAAGCAGCTATTTACTTACCATCAATAAAACTTAACATCGATCAGAGTTTGTAGATAAAAAAAGAGTTGGTATACGAAATTATCATGCAAACAAGACATTTAATTAACTAATATTGACATTTCCCAACAAGCCTTGGGAGTGACATATTATTTAATAAAAAAAATATCTTGTGATTTTAAAAGGGAAATCAGCCATTTTGCTTGACATATCAATTAACTAACGAAACGACTAAGGCTTTTTGCACATTAAAAAATCATGGATAGACGAGTAAAGTATTCAACGTATTTTAAATATAAAAGTTACATTTTCATATTCGTTACTCGTTACGTTCATATAAGCTCGGCGTAATCACGTGATTATTATTTTTGTTGTGAATAGATGAATGCATGTCATATACTCCCAAGCTCCGCTAGCTTTCCATTATGTATAATATTCAAAAGATGAATATAATGTAAAAAAGATTTTTGTCAAACCTGCAGAGAATCTTAGTTTATCCAACGGTTTTATTATACAACAGATTTAAATGAATACTAAAGGATGCTGTGCAATAAAAAATAATATTATTCTCAACAGCCATTGAAATTGGAGCGTTTTACATCTTAAATGGAGTGTACTCAGTAGTGTTATTTTCCAACATTTATCTCCTACAATGCATAATAATAGAAACCGATCGATAACGTTCATATACTCGTATAACAAAAGTACATTATCTTAAATATAATGAAAATGATGAAGGTTTTGGAGGATATTAGATGTACAATATTATTAACTGTGTCTTGTATCTTGTAACTTCCTAATAATGCTAGGTATATTCAGTACCGGATGTAACCTTAGCGCCGCCCTTGGGCACTGTAAAAAATATCGCCCTATTATTATAAAATATTGAAAGTTTATTTTTTTTAATTATATTTTTTTTGAAAAATGCAAACAAATTTGATATGATATCAATTTATTGAAAAATTGTACCTACTAGTTAATCTTTCTTTGTTCTTAATTTTTTAGATAATAAAAATAGCATTTTCGATAACGCGAAGCTTTTTTTCCCACCTTCCGAATTTTGCCGCCCCTAAAATTTTTCCGCCCTGGGCACTAGCCCCGAGTGCGCCTAGTGTAAATCCAGCACTGGGTATATTATACGGTTAAGAAATTACAGAACAAGCAAGTCCTCATACCGTATCACTATTCTAAATGAAACTACATATATTTTCGTTTTTTTTTTGGGATTTTCTTTTAAATTGGTAAAATATCTTAGATATTTTTTAATGAGATAAATCTATTAAACTGGGCATCATATTGGCTATTTTTTACATACAGGTGGTTATGTGGTACTCACCAGCTGGAAAAGCCAGTACTACCTACTAAAAACCAACAAAACCTCCCCCGTTTTAATGGAGCGTCGCAGGATCGCTTACGCGCTCAAGTACGACACCCCAACGTCAGCCCCCAAAGCAGACCACAACAACCATGAGCTTGCTCCACAGTCCACTCCGCTATCAGAGAAGTACCATAAGCAACCTGCATGGTACACCGCCCACCGAATTGAGTCACCTCCCCGTGCGTTTCTTGGCTTCCCACATAAATAAATTCTAGATATGGTGGCCCTCAATACGAAAGTATTATAAAATTAAAGCCTTCTATTTGTATCCCTTCTTAAAATCAAGGGTTTTTATAATGTCTATCTGTCTGATTTCATACAGCTAAATTCATCATTAATTTGATGAGTATTCAATGAATTTTCCAAGTGCTCAACAAATTATAATTATGAGCTTTTTCCGAACTTCTTTGAAAATTTCATTGATATAAAACACGTTTATTCTATCAATTTATATCAATATTTTAATCAATTTGAAAATGTTAATACCGGATGTGATAATGCAAATTAACAAATGCTTTAAAAGTTTCGACTAGATTTAGTTGATATCAGTCTTGAAGCTTAGTTACAGATGAGGATTACGAACTATAAATTGTATTTAGTTACCATTCTTGTCATATTTTACCGCCCTTATTGAGTGTAGTTTTTCTGAGTTCCGTACGTATTGCGTAGTTAATATGTATGTTCTTACCCATCTGTGGCGAAGCCCAAAGGTAAGTTATGTGTTTGACCCGTATATATGCTTGTATGTATGAAAGTCCGATCCTATGTTCCCTCATAATTAGTAAACGACTTAACGAATTTAGTGATTCATATATCGCTACAATCGTCTTTGTCACACAAGTGTCATAGGGATAAGGGATATATGTAAATATTAATAAAAATCTAAGTCAGTTGAAAGTAAGTTATACGTAAGAATAAGTAAGATAAATTTTCTTCCAAACATCAAGAAATCAAAAAGATTTTTTTAAGTGGCGATTCCACAAATATGTACAACTTAAGGCCGATTTCACCAACGTCACCTAAGTTTTAGGGATCCCCTAAGCATAGATAGGGGGCAGTTTCTGTTTCACCGACAGTTAGGGGTCACCTGAATTTTAAAATGCCACCTAAATATAGGTACTAGCAACGCCTGCAACACCTGGGGCGTCACATGCGCGTTGCCGACCCTTTAAGAACCTATTTACTCCCCTTTTGAAGGACCCAATACTGTAGCCCTCTGGGAAAACCTATTTGTTAATTATTATTTTTATTTATTTATGATTAACCTTTGTCCGCAGTATGACCCTCGTAAATGGATAAAGCATAAATATTCTACGATTTCAAATTACTGTACTGATTTTATTATGGCGATCACTTGAACGATGCAGAAGTAGATGACTTGCCAGTACCATCAAGTAAAAAATTATAGCAAAATATATAGGTTAAAAACCTTCTTCATATAATAGCGCTTATAACCTCCATGTAAAACCACTTATTTGGCCAAAATTTCAAACCATTGATAAAGAAGTGTAGATTTGGAACTCCAAATTGTATAAAACTTTGTACAATTGTTCAAAACTTTGTACAAACAATATAAATACATTTATTACTATATTTTTAAATTCATTTCATGAAATACGTCTCAGATATTAGATCCTATACAATATGTACAAATCAGTGTTGATATTGTGTTTTGAATAATTTATTTTCTTATTGTATGAATGAGATTTTTTTTTATTTTGTGTTATTTAATATTAAATATTTTGTTTACTGGCCTTAAAAATGACGAATCCTTAATCCAATGAATTATAATCATATCTATGTGGGCATGTATGTGGGTTACAAGACTACAAGACAAAAGAAATTGTTGTACTGATAAACTACCTTAAAGCAAGCTTTGAGTTAAGCTTGTAGATAAGTTCCTAAATATAATGATGACGTTTTTCGTGTTAGTTTATATATATATATATATATATATATATATATGTATTTATGTTGTAATAAATAGTTCACAAAAATATGCCTAAACCCGTTTTATTGCATTAAATTCTCATTCTTATGATGCGATAAGACGGTAATAAGACACTTCCGGAACAGATCACGCACATGACCCTAAGCTTTATGTACTGATAGCGTGACCACAGGTAGAGGGAGTAGCACCAATTTCCAAACGTTGGGTTTTAAACTGAGAATATTTTAAATTAAGTAATTAAAAACTCTTTGACCCGACCCATAACTAAAATTAAAGGTTGACGATCTGCAGCCGTATTAATTAACATGACTAATGAGACAGGTGCAAAATGAAGATATAATATTATATTATAATGATAACAATACAACTAAATATTAAAATCCTAATTTTTTTGTTTTGTTTCACCATACTAAATTATATCACATAAGTGATATATAAAAATTTTAGTCAAAGACTTTACCTTTACCTTTTTACAAAAACTAATACTTTCCAGCAGTACTTAAACTGTTTCTTGGCTTAAGTTAATTTTTGTTTACAGACCAGACAAAACCGAGCACACAGTGACATCTAGCAGTGGCAATCTCACTAACAATTCTGTGCGGCACAAAATTGTCGTGCTAGGCGCTGCTAAAGTTGGTAAATCGTCGCTGATATCACAATTCCTATATGGCACATTCTGCACTAAATACAAACGAACTATCGAGGAGATGCACCATGGAGACTTTAATGTAGCTGGTGTGAGATTGACCTTAGATATTTTGGATACATCGGGATCCTATGAGTTTCCTGCAATGAGAACATTGTCTATGCAATCAGCGGATGCCTTCATATTAGTTTACGATATAACGGATGCGGATAGTTTCGCTGAAGTTCGGGCACTCAGGGATCAAATTCACGAGACTAAAGAGAGTACTGCAGTACCTATAGTTGTTGTCGGTAATAAAGTGGATTTGGCGGAATCAGGAGAGAGACAGGTTAGTACCACTTTTGTTATATTGAAATTGTTCATAAAAATTTAAAGAGTGCGTGTTTCAATGTGTCCAAGAAATGTGCGCAAGAAATGAAACTTCTGTAGGTTATCGGTACTTTTTATGAAATTTAATTTATGTTTTAAATAATTACTAATTAAGATAGGAGAGATACTAAAAAATATTTTTTTATTGATTTGAAAGGAAAACAATATTTTATTATTCACACATGGTGTTAAGATAAAATTTAATTTTCAGTCAAACGTAATCAAATAAAATAAATATAATAAGGGTGCAAATTTTTAGTGAGAAAAATTATAATTATAACATTTAAAATAGGTATTATTTCAAGTAAATTTTTCTTAACAATATTCATTTGATACGGTATTATCGCTTATTTAAAAATAAATGAAAGAAGAGACTATTTATTCACTTCCGTAACGCACCGTTTCCGTTACAAATATCGTAACGCCAATCCTTTTATTCGTTCTCATGGCGCGCCTAAAGAAGTTTCACTTCTATAAAACAAACTTACAGTTACACTATGGTTAAATATTTCTCGAAAACTTATCAGCTTAACTTGGAATTGACATAAAAGTGTGTTTAAAAAAATATTTTAAAGCAGTAGCTATACTACGTTTTGGCAAAAATCTCGGGAACTTCATTTCTGTGTAATTTATGTTCACTGACTTTATAAGTTGCATCCATATCAATAGTTAGTTTATTTTATATTGGTTTACTTTAATTAAGTTTTTACTTACATGTTATGTATACTAATATTATAAAGAGGCAGAGTTTATTTGTTTGAACGCACTAATCTCAGTAACTACTAATCAGATTTGTAAAATTATTTTTGCATTAGATAGCCCGTTTATTGAGTAAGGCTATATATCATGTAATATATCGTCTATCTACTCCATATCAATCGCTAAAACCTACCTAGGGATGAACCCGAGCGAAGCGAAGGTGAGTCGCTAGTATTTCTATTAAATAAATGTTATAAGGGAATTAATATTAAATAAATACTATATAATATTAAATAATCCTTCCCATAGACGCTATCGATTAATTCGATAAAATAGTGATAGTGTCCTTTTGCGCATTTTTTTTGGTTCGATTCCCGATTCAGGTAAGCTTTTTAAAAAAAAATTAATGCTGTTAGTATTTTTTTTTAAATAAAAAATGTTTTCTTTGATTAAATCTTGATAACTTAAATATTTAAGGTACTTTTCTTCCATGTCCCATAGATTTGTTCCACCTGTATATATGTATACATTTGTTGTACAATTGCTATTTTTATACCACTACGGTAACGTAGCCTATGTTAAACTACTATTAGGTTGTAGTTTATCGCTGTAATAAATTATATCGAGTTTAATTTTTCTTTGAAAATATGGAACCATTTACGTTTAAATTATATTTAGATTTATTATGTAAAATAATTAACTCTTGTATTTATATGAGTAAATAAATAAAAGCCAAGACAAAAAAGGCGGTTCAAATCTAGATTGAATTAATTTATATAATACAAAGTACTACTACCACTCACTACATAAAATACAGCAATGATATCATTTTGTCTTTGAGGAAAAAACCAAACATTTTGTTTGTCATGTCTACACGCAAGGGCGCCTTAAGAGAAATTGAGACGCGTGCAGAGAAAGATAACTTAGACAATATAGTGTTGACCAAGGTCTTGAAGGTTAAATCCCACGAGGCATTATTCGATCTGCGATTCCAATAGAATTGTACAGTCTTAAACTTTTCTTTTTAAATATATAATGCAGTAATATTCACAAGTTAATCCGACACCATTAAAAAAAAACATTACATCATTTGTATTGTATGTATTGTATTTAACCCACTTTTCACGTCCCACTGCTGGGCACGGGCCTCCTTTCAATACGAGGGGCATCAGGTCATAGTCCACCTCGCTGAGTAATATATAAATGGATAATATAGTTAATGAATAAAAAATTAAAACTGTCGACAATTATCTACAACTAATATAGAACATATGGTTTCAAAGGTATTAAGTTATTTGATTTCTAATTGATGTTTATATTCAAGCATTTTTTTTATATGCCCCACTGCTAGGTACGGACTTCCGTTCAATACAAGGGGGAACAGGCCATAGTCCACCACGCTAGCTAAGTGTGGGTTGGCGGACTTCACATGTCTTTCTACAACTTGCTAGATTCTCACAGACACAAAGGTTTCCTCACGACGTTTTCCTTCACCGTAACACAAGTGATAATTATGTTGAAAATGATTCACAGATGGAAATATTAGAGGTGCGAGACCCGGGATTTGAACCCGCTTCACTCGGTTTTCCAAGCCAAAAAAAGCTAAAGCGGCTACCACTGCCAATTTACATATTTTTTTTATTTTATCATCTGAAAATACTTTAAACTGAATATGGTGAAATATAGTTAATATTGTTTCAAAATTAATAGGTATATTAACGTACAAATATTAAAGTTACTGAATATAATTTGTTTTTCTAAGTATTATTCATACGGATAGGTGTTTGTACTTTAAGCCTCAATACTTTAGATGAAATGGGTTTTTGTCTAAAGCTCTGTTCATGAATACATTAGTTAATATTGTTCAAAGTTAATGCGGTGACGCAAAAATTTTCAAGGTGAATAAATATTTTGTTATAAATAAAGGTTTAGATTGTTACATATTAGTATTTTCAATGCAACAATTAATTAACATTTTTGCCTAGAAAAGAGTTAAATAAATGTCAGGATAAATATGTCAGGACATTAACACACAACGCCATCTAGTTCCATGGTAAGCTACGAGGCTTGAGTTATGGATACCAGATAGTTGATACATTATACATATATAACTTTAAATACATACATATTATAAATATAAACACCCATGACTGGAGTACAAACATTCGTGCTCATCACACAAATGAATGCCCCCAGCGGGACTCGAACCCGCGACCACTGGCGCAGCAAGTAGGGTCACTACAAACTGAGCCAAGCGTGTCGTTTTGATAATATCATGTTTTTAAAACACAAAGACTTATTTCCACATTTTTTTCATTCATAACATACAAAAACTCTGTCCAAAATTTCATGCACCAATCATCAACAACTCGTTAGCTTGACGTTTTTTACTAAATTTAACTAGCGACTCATTCTCGCTCCGCTCGGGTTCGGCTCTAGTTACGTTTTAACGTTTAGTATAGATTTCTCAGAGATGAAATATTCTCCCGCAGTAGGATGTATCCTATATGTTGACCCGGAAAACCAGCTATCGTCATACCATCAAAATCTATCTAGTGGTTTTAGCGCGATGCGTTCCCAGACAGACAGACAAAAATTCTAAAAACTATAGATGCGGTCTCTGTATCGATAATAATGACTATTTCAATACATACCTACTTTAAATAAAAGTGACGGAATGGATGGCTTATGTTAAATCAAAACCAGGTTTTTAGAAATATATATTATGATACATCTATACATATAATAAAATTGTAACTAAGCCGAATCTGTACATTAAATATTTTTAGGAAAATCTTATTGAAATAGACATTATTTTCGATACAGAGGCCGAATCTATTGTTTTTAGAATTTTTGTCTGTCTGTCTGTCTGTAAACCACTGGAGAGACTTTGACGAAATTCGTTATGATGATAGCTGGTTATTCGGGTAACATAAAGGATACTTTTTACTGCGGGAAAGTATCGTATCTCTGAGAAATCTATACTAAACGTTAAAACGTAAGTAGGGATGAACCCGAGCCGAGCGAGGGTGAGTCGATAGTATCATAAATCATTATAAAACACCATTATTATTTATAATCAAAGTTTTAAGAAAGTTCGTTGAAGAGCCTGAAATGTCAAGTCCCATGGGTAAAGTGTTATTAAAGTTCTATTCAAACCAAAAAACCGAGGCAGTGGGAAATATGCGTCACACTTCTATGGCGCATTTTCTTTTTAAAGATAAACTTAAGTTGGTTAAAATATTATGTAGCATCAAATAAGCCGGCCTATAATAGTAAAAGCTTTTAGTTAATTGTTTATTGTGAAAAAAACTTATATTACATAGATTTAGCATTGACTTTCAAGGCATTTATTTCCTGGCCAATTTCTTAGGATGGTAGCCATAATAAATTGTTTCCCGTCCTGTGGACCCTCGCGTATCTCGTTCATAAAATAGGCTGTATCGCAGAGGGGCCGCGGTTAAACACATATCGCACCTTCGCATAAACGTATAAACTTTGTTTCTAAGTGCTTCACGCATTAACTTAAATATAATTTTCTAAATCCTTACAACTATTACAAAGATTAAATTGATCTAAGTTGTGTTGTGGAGATTAATATAGCCGTCTTTTAATTTTGGAAAAATAATAATTTGGAGCAATATAAACAATGTATCGGAAAACTACTTACTGGATTTTCATATAAAGAGCATAAATATTAATTCAAGTTTTATTTTGATTGATTTTAAGATAATGGAGATAAATAGCAGGCAAATGCTATCAGAGAAGTACCAGGAGCAACCCGCATGCCACACCGCTCACCGAAGTGGGCCACCTCTCACCACCCACCAAAGTGGACCACCTCCCAAGTGCGTTTCTTAGTTTCACACCCAGCTGGACGGATTGCCGGACGCTAATGATTCCCAGCCACATCACACATGAGGGGATGTGAATCACCCCTTTTTTATCGTTGGGAAATATTTAGGTACTCGAAATACAGGTTATAACCGAAACTGAGCCATTATAAAACACATAATAAAGTACAAGTATATTAGGATATTTTAAAACACTCTTTCACTGACACGATTTTAACTAATTTTTTTTGTGCGAGACCCGGGATTTGAACCTGCTTCACTCGGTTTCCCAAGCGAGCGCGTTACCACTGGGCCTTGGCCTTAATTACTATACTACCTTATATTAATATAACCAAATAAAAGAATGCAAATTAGTATTTGTTTTCTTAGATCCAGACAATAATGTGTCCTTTCTTAGAAAAGCAAT